TTTCTTAAGATCTCCAACATTTTTAGTGCAATCTGGTGGTTTCCGCGACAAATAAATTCTATTAATGTTTGAGGAGGATACGAAATCATTTGACTTGTCTGGGTTGCATTTAAGTTACTTGAGAAACTAATAAGAAACTTTAGAAGAAACATTTATCTTTTTGAGTCTCCTTTGAATCATTTTTGAACAGTATCATTTCTGAACAGTAATGTTATAACGTAATATTATAACAGCATGTTATAACATTATGTAATGTTATAACAGCATGTTATAACAACAGTAATGTTATAACAGCATCATTTCAGAACAGTAATGATATAACGTACTTTTAGAGGTAATTTTATATTCATATTCAGGTATATATAATTTACATATTTATTGTATATTATGTATTCATATATATATATATATATATATATATATATATATATATATATATATATATATATATATATATATATATATATATATATATATATATATGAATACATAATTCACAATAAATATATAAAATATATATACCTGAATATGAATATAAAATTACCTCTAAAAGTTACAACATTATCATTATAATGATAAATTTAGAACAATTATTTTCATACGTTTAATCATCTTTTAAATGACTTTATGCTGTAGTGTTAACTTACAGTTGTGTTATAAACACTACTCATAACCAAGAAGTTCCGAGATTGACTCCCACCACGTCCCTAATAAACTTTTAAGTTTATTCCTTGACATGTAATGGAAAGATCATAAAATGCATCTGGAAGATAAAAACTCAAAAATATTTATTTAACAAAACCTTTTGTACATTTTTTTTTTTTTTTTTCGAATTCTTAAATTTTTACTGTATTTATTGTTATCTTAACTACGCTAAGATTGCTTGGTATAGTTAGGAGCGATTCTAGGAATAAAGTGAGAGAAGCAAATTCTTAAAGTGCCTTCTGCTTTTTTATATAAAAAAAAGTCCTCAAAATTAAAAATCTGCCGACTACAGAGTGTATCAACTCCCGACTTAGCGACTATATTCCTGAAAAAACCTTCAAGCTGAACCCGACAGGCATTTGTTTTTAAAAGTTACGATCTAAATGTATTTTAAATGTTTTTTAAACGTCTTTTAAACATTAATGTTTAAAAGACGTTTAAAAGACGTTTAAAACACATTTAGAACGTAACTTTTAAAAACAAATGCCCGTCGGGTAGTTGCTATATTTATAGCTCTTTAATTGGTTAAGTTTAGTCCACTGACACTTATTCTTCAAAAATAAATATCGTTATAAATGTAAATTGCAAGATAACTTATAAATACATTAATAATAATAATAATAATAATAATAATAATAATAATAATAATAATAATAGTAATAATAATAATAATATATAATTCGTCATTTATAAACATTTTACAACGTTCCTGTTTTACAATTTTAATCAATAAAATTTAAATAAAAATTAATAACGACAGGAGCAAGTAGAAGACAGAAGTCTTGTCATCAAGCCCCTATAGTAAGCGTAAAATACTTTTAACAAATTTCTCATTATATAAATTTACAAATACTCGTTATAAAAAAACAAGTTAACACATTATTACAACAAGAATACTATAAATTGCAAAAGATAAATAATCAGATATATTAAGATTTCCTTCTCTGAGATCTAAGATTTAAGAGATTTAAGCGGTCGTGGCGGCGGCCGTAGCGCAGTGGTTACAGCGCTTGCTTTATAAACAGGAGATCCAGGTTCGAAACGAGCTTTGGACATATTTTCGTGTCACGGTAAGGAAGGAGGCGTGAACTTCCTGGTTAAATGCACTTCCGTGGTGCTCTGTGACAAGACCTTTAGGTCTTCTTAATGCACCTAAATAACAAACAAACAAAAACAAATATTATGAAATAGATCTGTCAGTCTAGCTATGAAACCTGCAAGTCTCGCATTGTCTCCATCTACAATTTTTTCGCCTCAGTGAAGTTTGGAATACATGATGGTGTTGACCTTGAGGATTCACCAATACTTGAAAACAGGTTTTGCTTGCTTAGCTGTGTTCTTCTGTGATCCGTTTTCTTCCTTAAGAAGAACACAATTCTTATCATTTTGCCCTCTACGTTTCTTGCTTAGATCTTGTCTTGTGCACCCAGGCACACCTTTTTTGAGCTTGAAGGGCAATCAGGAATTAAAGATCTCAAAGTCTTTCATTTTTTTAGTACGAAGCTTACCTGTTTTTATTTTCGCTTGGGCATTTTTGTACTGTAAAAACTACTGTTTCAACTTCTCACTAAAAATCTTTTCTTTTTTTTTCGTTTGATTTGTACCCTTTCTTCTTATTATTTGTATATATTTATTTTTATTTGTATATATTTAAAATTATCATGCAAATCAAGAATTTTTGCTTTTACCTCGTATTTACGTTATATTTCTATACCGATTTTAGCACATTACTGTTGAACTTCAATAACTACTTTTGATTTCCCACAAAATTATTTCTGAAATTGCAAAATACCCTTATGATTGATCTATTAATTAAATGAAAAGTATGTAAATTTTAGAAAAGCTTGAGTTAAATCCACTTAGTAACTTTAAAATTTATTTATGTCTTCGTTGTTTAATATGTGTTGTTATTCTTTTTATTTTTTGAACCTTAGACTTTAGTATTGTGTTCTGAAGTTTAATAATAAAAAAACAAAACAAAAAAACTTTATAAATAAAAATTAAATATGGATAAGACATATTAGTCTTCTTCTTGCCCCTGCTTCCTATATATAAAATGGCATAATTTCTATATGCAAAAATTCAAATTAAAAAGTTATGCTTATGCAAGATTATTAAAAATTGATCGTATTTTGAAATTCTAAGTTTTTTTTCGCTCCATCTAGCGCTTTTTTGACGCTGCTTTAAGTGGTTATTTTTAGAAGACAATTTTTAGTGAAAAAGCGATATTTTCGAACTTTTAATTTATTTCTTAAACCAATAAGAACTTTTAATTTATTTCGAACTTCAATATATCGAATATCAATCGGAAAAATATTGAACAGGTATTCAGAGTTTAATGTGAACAGGTATTCAGAGTTTAATGTGAACAGGTATTCAGAGTTTAATGTGAACAGGTATTCAGAGTTTAATGTGAACAGGTATTCAGAGTTTAATGTGAACAGGTATTCAGAGTTTAATGTGAACAGGTAGGTATTCAGAGTTTAATGTGAAATATTTCATTAAATCTTATTTTTTGCCATAAAAATGAGGTGAAAAATCAGTCTTTTTAGATTAGGAAATAATGCAAATAATAGCATACCTGAATGTGATTATTAAATTCCAAATGTTTCTGTAAAAATTTGAATACGCCTTTTTTTTTTTTTTTACAATAACAGTCATTTTTAGTCAGTGCTAAATATCACGTTTCAATTTAATTTTTGAACATAAATGAAATATAATTATTAGATTGGGAGGTCAAAAAAAAAAAAATTTTTTTACAAATACTAAAAAAGGTTTTCCCAAAGTAAAGTTCTTGCAAAATACAAAGAGACAGGGAAAGTTTTAATTTCAATATAATAGTTTCGAACTATTGTACACTTCTCGATTGAGCCCCTTCAAGCATTAAATAATTTTTATGAGTAATTTTAATTTAACTTAATTTAGTAGGTATTGCTTTACAAAACGGACATGACTGATAAGGATCTTTTTCAGTGATTTTCGCTAAAACTTTTTCGTCTGTTAAAAATAACTTTTTCGACTGTTAAAAATAAAGAGCTTTTGATATTAAGAACTTTTCCATTTGATAGCTGTATTATAATATCAGGAAGTTCATTTTTTGTTATTTATCGAAATTTTTTTTTTGAGAAGTTTTTTACTTTCTTTAGCGTGAAAGCCGGATAGTTTCGTTCAAACTTTTATTCATCTTATATCCAACCTCGAATTGTTGTTTTAATATTCGATCCTCACCACGTCCCTGGTAGTACCACGCTTAACTTGTTTCTCCGCGGAGCGACCTTGTTCGTCAAGGTTCGTGTTTCGGAGTTATAGAGTTGAGAGAGGGTTATAACCACTATTAAGTAGCCTCCTCGTCTGTAGTGGCCTTCTCGGCCTTGAGGTGAATAACAAAAAAAGAAAAAAAAAAAAAAAAAAAAAAAAAAAAGACGCAGATTATTTAATTACAGGTTTGGTGTGAATTAGGTTTTTTAAACTATGTTCGTCAGATGGCCTAAAATACGTGATAAGATGTCTTCTGAGTTTCGACGTCAAAAATGCTTGTAAAATATCAAATCCAGTAAATGGCGATCGACTGCAGCAAAAAAAAAAACATTAAATTTGTGATTTGTATTAATTACCATACATTTACTCGCCACAACTTTCCTATTACTAATTCTAGTTTGAGACGTAATTTAAAAACGATTTTTCAATTTAAATGTTTATGTTTTTCAAAATACAACCTTAAAAAGTTTATTTTTTGTAACTTAATTGAATTTTCATAATTTGCTAGTAACGCGAATTTGTACGATAAAATAAAAGTTCTTCTAGTTGTAAATAAATAAAAATATTAATAAAAATATAGACTATTATAAATTATTGATAGCAATGTTTGGAATGTTTGCTCTAAATTGAAGGGAAAAAAACAACAAAATGAATTACGAATTGATTGGAATAACAAATTTTAAAAATTCTCAAAAAAAAGTGCATTTTTATATAAAATTGGTAACATAAGTCACTTTAAATAAAAAAAAAAACATGAATAATCAAGAATAAATATGACACTTTAAGAAGAAATATATAAAACACAGTTAAAAAAAACAAACGGAAAAATTGAAAAAAACAAACAAACAAACAAACATAGGAATTATTATCTTATAGGAATTTAGTGTAAAAAACATAGGAATTATGATCTTATAGAATTTAGTGTAAAAAAACAACAACATTCGAATAATATTACAATTTTTTAAAACACCAACGACTGAAAGTTTCCAATAAGCAATGAGTAATGGCGGCACCACAATAGTTTTAAAAAACTTTCATAAAAACTGCGAGCAAAGAACCTTACAAATATTTTAACTAAAAAAGATTCACAAAAGTTTCATCATTGACCTTCGTCAACAACATGACGACAAATGGGGCAAGTAGAACTCGTCTAAATTATAAAACCAACTTTACTAACGGTTGCTTTAGTTAATTATATTGTTAAATATTGAATGATAAAATCATAAAATTATAATATAGTTTTATTATGGTTCTTACCTCCAACCATTGATCAACGCACTCGGAATGAAATTCGTGAGCACACGGCAAAATACGAAGCTTTTCTTCAACTGCATATTCACACATGCATATAACACATCGTTCGCTAAATTATTTTAAAAAGTATCATTGTAAGAACGTCACAAACTATGATTTCATTACAAATTTTTTCACAAACTATGATTTTCACCAACTATTCACAAACTATGATTTCATTACAAATTGATAATTAGCTGACGTAGCATGGATATAGCGATTCTAATCTCAAATGATTATTGCTATTTCGAGATTACAAAATGTGAAACTTTGAAATCGAAATAAATCAAGACGGTTATCAAATAAGGAGTATTAAACTGAATAATAATTTGTGTATAAAAGTAAAATTAAAAAAACTTAAATTATATATTTGCGCTTTTTTCTTTTTAATTTCAATATGTTATTATAAGTCTATATGACAAAATAAAGCATTTGCTTAATAAAATGCACTTTGCTAAGAGTAACGTCACCGACGTGTAATTTTCTTCGATCACATAAAGGCATTGTAAAACACTTTCTATAGCTATAAAAAAACTACAAAGCTAATTGCATTACTTGCATAACTTTGTACAATCTTTTGTTAGCAATATTGATAACTGAGACTGTTAATTTAAAAAGACAGCATAACTCACAATCGCGAGTCACCTGAATAGTAAATAGACAAGTTTAAGGAATAATATAAAAGTAATATAAGAATAGATTCAAAAGTAGAATATAGAAAGAGGTTTATAAGAGAAATAGAATAAGATAAATACAAAAATTATAATATAAAAAGGAGAAAAATGATTATATTATAGTAGAATAATTATAAAAAAAAGAATGAAAAATGAATAATATAAGAATAGAAATATATATATATATATATATATATATATATATATATATATATATATATATATATATATATATATATATATATATATATATATATATATATATATATATATATAAAGAAATACATTTCTTGTTTTAAGTGTAGGGTGAGAAATTTATTTCTTAAAACAATAAATATATTTCTTGTTTTTTTTTTAAAATTCTTATATGAAATTCTTTGATGTATAATAATAATAAAAAAAAAATATATCGCTACTGTAATTACATAAGGTAAAATTTACCGGAAAATTTTCCGGTAAATTTACTGAAAAATTTTAAAAATTTACCGCCTGGTAAATTTTAAAATTTTTTTTCACTTAATTTTTTTTTTTTTAATTTTTTAAAGGAAAATTTACCGTTCTCTAATTAAAATTTACCGGTAAATTTTGAATCAAATTTATCTGGAAAATTTTCATCACTAAATTACATAGTAAACAAGAAAATTATATAATACTGAAATAACTTGAAAATATTTTGGAATTAAAAAAGACAAAACATAAAAACAGGATTTAACAAGTCTATTAGCATGAAATTACTTGGCAAACTCAATACTGTCAACCTCCATTTAGCTGCAGCATTGCAGGTAATTGGAGGTTGACAGTATTGCAGGTAAATGGGGGTTGACAGTATTGCTGGAAATGGAGGTTGACAGTATTGCTGGAAATGGAGGTTGACAGTATTGCAGGTAAATGGATGTTGACAGTATTGCAGGTTAATGGAGGTTGACAGTATTGCTGGAAATGGAGGTTGACAGTATTGCTGCAAATGGAAGTTGACAGTATTGCTGGAAATGGAGATTGACAGTATTGCTGGAAATAGAGGTTGACAGTAATGATCGAAATGGAGGCTGACAGTATTGAGTTTGCCAACCTCTACTTACCTGCAATACTGTCAACCTTGATTTACCTGCAACGTTACCTTAGCTAACTTTTAAGAGTTCTTTTTGATTTTCGTTTCAACTTTTAAGTGCTACTTAAATCAATTTACTTAATTTAATTAATTTAAATCAATTTACAAAAAATTCTGTACCAGGTCGCTGTACACCTCAATACCCCTGTATTTAACTAATATCTTTTTATTATTTTTGATACTTTAAAAAAATATATATTATTAAATTAAAAAATTACTTACACCATATTTAATTTTATATTTAAAAAAATATATATAAAATTAGATATGGTAAGTTAGATTGAAGGATGGTGTAAGTTAGATTAAATGGTGGTGATGCTGTTTATTTCTAAAAATTTGCCTCACTGAATAATTTAACACATTTAATAAGTCTATTTTTGTTATATACTTCCCAAAACCAAGATCTATATTAATTGTATATTATAAAAAATAAATAAAAAAAGAAACTGATATTAAAAACCTATAACAAACAACCTGTATATTTAACAAATATTTAATACACAAAATTAAGGTGCTTTATAAAGGTACAAACACAAAAGCTGTCAACCACTAACCTATTGTTTGTCTAAGTGATATAACTCTCAAAAGATTTAATTTTTTTTTTATTTTTAATTATCTTCGCTTCCAACAAGGCTGCAAGCAACCACTAATTAGTGTTGGAAGTTACTGGAAGAGAAAAGATGAAGATTGTAGAGCAAGATAATGATTGGCAAAAGACTTAAAAAATTGCAAATTATATGAATCAGGAAAGCAAGATGAAGGAAGCAAATTCCAAAGAACTGATGTTCGAGGAAAAAAACTAGAGAATAAGAGTTTTTGGAGCACTTAGGAACAGTAACAGAAATAGGATGAGACTTAATTGAATGACGAGTAACACGAAAATGAATTTTTGTTGATGGCACAAGAGACGCTAGCTCTTTCGAGCAGTGCCCATTATAGTATTTGTAGAAAAGAGAAAGAGAAGCAACATTACGATGATGTGACAGAGGTTGAAGGTTGGCTGCAAGAGCAGGTCCAACTATGTTTACAATGCGTTTTTGCACCTTGTCTAAAAGAGAAAGGTCATCATTAGAAGATCCGCCCCAGATATGGCAACAGTATTCCATACAAGGCCGGATTTATAGAGATTGAGAATAGAATCCAGAGTAAGAAAGTGATGAGCTCGATAAAGAGATGCAACTTTAGCAGATGCTAATTTTACAATGGATTTGATATAAGGTTTCCAAGAAAGATCAGAAGTGAGAGTTAATCGTAGAAGATGAAGGGTAGGAGACTCATCGAGTACATTACTGTTCATAAATATAGGAAGGTTTAAACTATTGCGATAACGATTGGCCGAAAAAAATTGAGTTTTATCTGAATTAAAGTTCACCAGCCACTGTGAGGCCCATGCTGTAGCAGAAGTGAGATCCTCTTCAAGCTCAGATGCCCCCTGCAAGCAACCAGAGGGAGTTGGCTTCTTATCGTGACAAGAATAAATGGTAGTATCATCAGCGAACAATGCCACCTTAAATGTGAGAATATCTGGAAGATCGTTAATGTAAATTAAAAAGAGTATAGGGCCAAGGATTGAACCTTGAGGAACCCCTGAGGTTACAGAATAATAAGAAGAGTGCTGTCCATCAAGGACAAGGTAGTTTATACTACGTCCATCAAGGACAAGGTAGTTTATACTACGATTGTCCATTAAGGACAAGGTAGTTTATACTACTATTGGAAAGGAAGGATTCAATAATCTTAAAGGTGTTTCCAGATACACCGTAAGAAAAAAGCTTATGGAGAAGACCAGCATGCCAAACTTTATCAAACACTTTAGAAATGTCAAGAGCAATGACCTTAACCTCTCCACCTTAATCTAATGCCCGATAAAACCTATCGGTTATTACTGATAGCAAATCAGCCATCGAACGAGAAGATCGAAATCGATATTGATGATCAGAAAGTAGGTTATGAGATTCGAGATGAGAGATTAAGTGTTTGTTAATTAAAGATTCAAAAACCTTGCTTATGATAGGAAGAATACTAATGGGATGGTAGTATATACTGTTAGTACACTTGTACTTAGAACCTTGAAGTGGTTGGAGTAGGTTTTTTGCAACAATTCTTAAAATATATTACTTTTTACATTACTATAATATTGTTAAACTTCATTATAATAACAGGATTATTTGTAATATATAATTAAAACTTACTCTGCCGTAAAATCTGCCATAGAATATTTTGTCAAAGTATAGTGAGGTAACATTTCAATTTGTTCTTTTTTAAGACCAAATTTGTGTTTCTCTTGTGTTTCCCAATCATTTATCGGCTCAGCTTCTACACTAATCAGATAAGGAAAAGTTCTTGATGTAGGAAATGTTGGGTATTGATAAGAAACTGGATGAATTATTTGAGGGTACGGATAAGAACTAGTTCTAGACGATTGGCGCATATGAAAACGTGATTCACTTCTGTGGCCCTATAATGAAATAATTCATCTTTTGTAAATTTGTGCATTCAAAATTTAAATTTCATAAGTATTAAAAAAAAAAAAATTTGGAAATAAACCAAGCAAGGCAGCCACATTACTTAACTAAAAAAATCTGAAACCTCAATTTTGTTTTTAAGCCATCTTTTTTAATAAAAAGAAGTTAACAGAAAGCATTCAACAATTTTAAGTTCTTTTTATTCTAAAGCCAAAATCATAAATACTCTTTAAACACAACAATCCTAAGTTAATGTGGCCGTCTTGGACAGTATACCATTATAATTAGTAGACAGTATAAATAGTCCATTGTGGACATCATATTTATAAATAGTCCATTGTGGACAACAAATTAACATGGACAGCTTTTACCACACTTTATCTACCTCTCTATTACCAGAACTTCGATTTGAACACAATGAAGTTGGAGTAATATAACGGCCTGTTTCAAAATAAACATGTGAAGTGTAGCCCACCAACGAAAAAACTTCACTTGTACTCTAGTAAATAAACAAGATAAAGAAAAAATGAAAATAAAAATTATAAAATAATGAAAAAAAAAATTAAAAAATAAAATTGATTAAAGTAACAGAAAATAAAATAGAATTAATATAATGCAACAAAAATAACATATAACAATATTAATAAAATAACAAAAATAAAAAATGTAACAATTTTATACCTTGTTATATATATTATATTGTTATATATATTATATTGTTATATATATTATATTGTTGTTATATATATTATTATATCGTTGTTATATATACTATATTGTTTTAGTATTTTTTCAAATATGCTAAAATCCTCAGGGGACTTCTTTTAACCATTAAAATTAAACTGTTGCTGAGTTTTAAGTTTGAATAAACATTTGCAAAATTTTGGATAAACATTTACAAAAGGTTCATATTCAGTCTTTACTCAGCAACAACAAAATAACAAACAAATAAAAATAAAGATCTTTTTATTTATGTTTAATGTATATAGTATTACACTTGTGTGGTTTGGACAAGCTTCTTTAATCCTATTTATATATGACATTGTGGAAGATTTTAGAAAAACTTTTTATATCCGTATTTACTTCTTTTAGATCAGTTACCTTCACCTTGACTAAAGACCTTTACTTGTCCTAACATAAGCTTAGTTTATCATCATGGTCAGAGCATGATCAGGATGAAGATAAATATAAAATTATATTAAATAAATTGTTTAAAACTTAAACTTTCTTTTTTACAAGTTTTTAGCTCAGGTCACAAAAATTAATAAAAAAAACTTAATATAATTTAATATAAGCAAAAAAAAAAGAAGTCTTACATCTCTTGTGCACATTGTAAGCGGATGATTTCGATTTACATGATGATGTATATGAGAATGATATTCTGGAGCATGTGTTTCATTGTTTCGCAACTAAAATAGAAATAAAATGCAAGGTAAACTTTAGGAGATCACAATGCAAACTTTAGGAGACCACCTTAAAAAACCTTAAAAAATTACAAGGTAAACTATAAAAGATTAGCAGAGATAACTAGATTAACAATATTTTGATATATATAATTGAGGAGAGTTGTTATAAACTAAAACATAAAAAATAATTTTCCAAAAAATTAAAGCATTTAAAATATATTCATTATAAAAATCGTAAATAATTAAAAAAGGTAAGAATATGCTCTATAAATTAGAATGTATTAAAGTAAAAATGAAATAAATAAAAAATTTGGAAATCGAAATCAGAAAGATTTAACTAGCCAAAAGTGTTTACCAATATTCTGTTCAAACTACATTTAACACCATTCCAGTAATACTAAGTGTTCTATGTAAGTTCTGATAATTCAATGCAAACTTTAACTTAGTTTTAAAAACTTCTTTTTTTAATTTTTAACTTGGATTAAAGTTTGATAACTTTCAGTGAGACATCACAAAACTGTTATGTTCCTCAACTTTTTTTTTCTTTTAGAATTGTATTAAATTCTTATTAACTAATCATATGGCTAAAACAAATCATAGTCTTTTTTATTAGAATAATAATTTTATCTCATTTTTATTTTAATTTTTATTTCCATTTTTTTATTTTTATTTCCGATTTTGTTTCAAACTTTAACATGTTCAAGAGTCATTTTGTATCAAATCATTTTTTTTTGAAACCATATTTTGAAACCCCAGTAATGAGCATTTTAATGCTTTTTGGTATACAAGCTTACATTTTTTCCTAACTTTTGTTCACTGTCCAAAACAGTGCAATACTGTAGAGGCATCAAGTACGCATACAGTATGCAACTGCACCTTGCATCAAAATGTCAACTTAACGATTAGTGCAAACTATCAAAAGATTATCACAAATTCATTGACATTGTCATTGATTTTGACGAACTTGCTTCTAGTAGAGCTAACAAGAAATGCATGAAACATCAGTGCCTTTTGTATCCAGATGTTATATAAGAACGTTATCTTAAAAATAAGTCATACATTTGAAATAATATTGAAGATGATCTTGTATAGATTACAAATAATTAAAGACAACAAGATCAACTTGTTTCTCTGCGCAACAATGTTGTTTGCTAAGGCTTTTGTTTGGAAGTGAATTTGTATTTTAAAGATAATATAGATGATGAGGATGAAACTTGCATAGATTACAAAGAAAAGAAGATCACCTTGTTTCTTTTGCACAGCAGCATTGTTCATTATAGCTCATGATGATCAAGATCAGTGTTTAAACAGAGTGTTTAACAACAATTTAAAAGAGTAGTTTCAAACTATGACAAATAAGTTACAAAAGCTGTTCATCTTTACATTGCTAAAATTCAAGCTTACATTCAAGTAAAAAAACTTTCTAAAAAAAAATTGCTAAAATTCGAACCCCTTCTTTAATAAAATAAGAAAAAAAGTAAAATAGTGCTGATGTTATTACAGAAACAAAAGATATAGTATACTACAAGATAAAGTAAACATCTGAAATAAAAACTCTTTATTAATTTTTAGGTAACTTTGCTAGCAAATATAAAAACTGCCAACACTGATAAAAATATGCCACAATAAGCAAAATATTCCTATAAAAAATGTGTAAAAATCATATTTGCAAGAAGGCACAGTAAACTACATTGTGATGGTATTTGCAAGAAGGCACAGTAAACTACATTGTGATTGGTGAGATTTTGAAAAGACTAACTTCATATTAACTAAAATTGCCTTTATAGAACAACAAACAAAATGCACCAATCTTTTTTTTCATCAATAATTTAAGCAAGTATTTAGCTAACCCAAATGCCTTTATTTCTTCATCAAGTGACTTCTTTGGTATTTTTTTTTCCATAATTTTGCTTTAAAATTTTCTTTTTCAATACTCTTTCAATGAAAAATCTAATGCATTTAAGCTTTGTAGTTACTGAGTAACATTTATTTTGTTGTGACTGAGTAACATTTTGATAAATTGATTTAACTATTGAATCTGCCTTCTTTTTTGATTAAATCTTGATTTTCCACCACTTCCTTATTTCTATTTAAAGCTTTCTTCTCCGTCCTTAAATCATTTTATGACAATTCCAACAAGTGATTTTGAAACATTACATTACATTAAAAATAATTTTTTGATTTTCAGATTTTTTATCGCAAAAACTAATCAAATTAAAACTACATCCACGCACAAAAAACTTCTTTTCACTAAACGTTGAATCATTACTAAACATCATTAAAAAAAAAAAATTATTAGAATTAGTAAGTGGTTTTTGAGAAAATTTAATATAAAATCACCCAAATTTCAACCGATAACCGATCATAGTGATATATATATATATATATATATATATATATATATATAATATATATATATATATATATATATATATATGTATATATATATATATATATATAGATATGCATATATATATATATATATATATATATATATATATATATATATATATATATATATATATATATATATATATATATATATATATATGTATACATATCATGCATATATATACATCAGCAATTGCTGAGTTTTTTTGCTTACTTTATTTCATAGGGTTTTTTTAGAAATAAAAGAAAAAAACAAAGAATATACTCAATAAAGAAAAAAAGATTGATGCCCCAGCCCAAACTCGTAGACAATGTAGTGGCATTTGCTTGCATATTTTACCTATTTGTCAAAGCTGTATGTACACTCCCTGCAATTTCTAATTATTTAGAAAATGCAGGGAACATTCACTCTACTGAAACTTAGCAACTTTTATCCTACTGCATCCTACTGAAACATCCTACAAAATGTTAAGTTTCATAACACTATCTTTATTTATTGATGACAATTATCAGTGCCCTATTTATGTGACATATATAATTAATATATTAGTATTTTACTACAAGACTATGTTTTATGTATACTTTTAATAATATTTACAAACTTTGTTATCTTGATTTATTTCCTCTATTTTGACAGAATAAAAAACATTAAAACTGAAACATTCTTCTTTATACAATAAAAACTGCATCAATTACTGTATGCAATAAAAAAATATATTGGTTATAAATCATCCCAAGTTAACTATAAGCAATCATAAGCAAAATCTAAATAGAAGCGCAACAAAAAGAGCTTCATGATATTAGTACTGTTGCATAATAAACTTAAAAATTATTTAACCATAAACAAATTGTTTAACCTTTTTACAAAATCATGCTATTAAAATGATAAACATCAAGTCAATTAAAATTTCTTTTTTAGGTGATGTAGTTAAAACACCAAAATACTTGTACAAAAACATACAACTATAGATATTAGTAAAAATTAACAAAATTACTTCACTTAAGTAACATCACTTAAAATTAAAAAATAACAAAAAAATTTTTATTTTCTACAGTCTAAATAAAAATAAATCCTGATGATAAATAAAAATAAATCATAAATAAATCCTGATGATAAATCTAAATAAATCATAAATAAATTCTGTGTAATTTATTTATAAGTAATTTCAGTTAAAAATATAGAGATAACCTACAAATAAAAAAAATGTGTAAAAATTAATAATGCAAAGTAATAATAAATTTATTTTTATTTATTTTTCTTATTAAATATTAAAAATTCTTCTTTATATATTTATTTGTTTAAACATATTTTCAAAATAAAAAAAAAATATTTAATAGTTAATATCAAATAAAATGTATTAATTTAAAAACATTTTGAGCAACAAAACTTACATGCATGTCATACTGTTGAGAATACTGACTTCCTCTATAGCCGGTGGTAGGTTCCCATGAATGGTGTGTGTTGGGTAACGGAACAAATGATGTGGCATAATATGGCGTTGGGTATGTAACATTATCAGAGGTCAAATGAACTCTTCTCACTAAATTACTAGAAGAATGAGTTTGTTGATGATGACAACGTGAAAATGAAGAAGTTGGTTGAATAAGAGGCATAACAGATTGCACTTGTTGCTGACAACAACAACTTGCCATTTGAACTTGAGGTATCAACTGACTAAAATTATCATTTTTTACAATATATATTATATTCTATTATATATACATATATACATAAATATATATATATATATATATATATATATATATATATATATATATATATATATATATATATATATATATGAATATATGTATGTATATATATATATGAATATATGTATTTATGTATGCATATATATATACATATTTATGTTTAAATTTAAATTTATATATATATATATATATATATATATATATATATATATATATATATATATATATATATATATATATATATATATATATATATATATAAACTTAAATATAAACATAAATATGCATACATATATATGCATATTTAAATAAATATAAACATATATGCATACATACATATATATCTTATACTGCTGAGTTAGGTGAGCATGATGATGTCATACTCAGCTAACGTCAAATAGCCTGCTGCCGGGGGCTTCAGTACATACATCGACTGACAAATAGCCTGACTCGCAGTGGAGTGCTGCTACATCGACTGAGGGTTTGGTATGGGTCAGCAACCTTTTCATTCATTATTCTTCGTTTTCCCTCATCGTTTTCTAAAAACGCTCACTTAATTTAGGCTAGCAAAAAAAGTGAGCAATTGCGCATATAAATATGCTATAGTAGATATATATATTCATATATTCATATATATATATATATATATATATAAATATATATATATATATATATAGAGTAAAGAACCCAGAGTTTATATGGGGATACCGTTTTTTTCCGGCAATGTTAAGGGTGGGTGGGTGGAGGGTTGTGTTTTTGAGCCCCCTTTCTCCTCTTCCTTCCCCCCTTTCTTTTCCCCTAGTTAAATGAGTGCCAAAACTATAATTTTTAATAGTTATTTTTTTGAACACATGAATTTACTGGGGGACGATGTTACTTTAGATACATTAAGAAAGCTATTTTACTTAAGACTTTAAATAATACTTTTGTTGCAAATACCATCCTATCAGTAAATAATTATTGAAAATTGATTAAAGTATTTTAGACATTTTTTTAAAACTATATTTTTGTAAATTTAATTTAAATGTTTAAATACCTTAAACCATTTTTAATCAATATTTACATTAAATTAATATATTTACATATCGCATAATATTTGTAAAATTATCACGTAATATTTGTAAATCGCGTAAAATTTGTAAAATTAACAAAATAGTTTTAGGTCTTGTATTTAAATTAAAAACATAACCATTTAACAAAAAAATTTGTTAAGCATTTAATAAACTATTTGAAAAAATAACATAAGCATTTAATAAACTTATTAACTAATTATTTAATTTTAAAATTTTGATTTAGATATTAGTAAACCTGTTCATTTAACTTTTACTAAAGGTTAATAATTTTTTAAGTGACTTTAAGGCGCCTTTTAAATTAAAGATAGTTAAAAAAGAGATTTACAGAAAACAAAATTTTAAAAATGAAGCGTATTTTTGAATTAAAAGCATATTGTATTTTAAAAAATATATATTAAAAAAAAAATATTTTTTATATAATTAAGTTTAATTTAAAAAAATTACATTTATTAAATAAATTACATTTACTGTGGGTTATTTTGAACAGATTTTAATAAAAATTTTATTAAGTTATTGAAATCTTTATTTTTACTATTTTAAAGAATATTAAAAAAAAAAAAAAACTTTTATAAAAAATTTCGTTTTTTCAGAAAAACGCTTTGTGTTTTCAGAAAAACCTTTCGTTTTTTCAGAAAAACACTTCGTTTTTTCGTTTTCCTCATGTAAATTAAATTAGCAAGCTAAAAATCAAAAGTTCAATCATTCAAAAACTGAACTCATGCGGTAGTTACGCCACTTAGTAACCGAAGGTAATTTACATTATGTAGTTATGTAAAAAAGTTTTTACATTTTCTTTTTAACCCTTTGAGCGCTCGATAAAATTTGAACGCTGTTCAGAAAAATTCAACTAAAAAAATATCTGCAAAAAAAAAAAAATCGGCAATAAACATAACAAAAAAACAAACAAACAAGAAAACAACTAATTTTGAACTTTTTTATTTTTTTGTAGGTTATATAAGATTAAAAGCAGTTTAATCATTTTAATGCACAACTGTTGTGTGATAATTGGAAAAACAGGCTGGACACAGTCCAACAACACAGAACTGACACTGCCAACTTGTGTGGACTCGAGTTTGGTGCCCAGCTACACATTTTATTTTTTTTCCTGCACCAACCTTAACAAGATTGTGACCATATAATGGATTGCTATTTGCAGTACGATGGGGAAGTGGGTATGGGGCAATTGTACTTCTAGCCACTTCAATCTCTCTTGATGTTCTTCTTTTAGAAATTACTTTTACTGGAAAAATAACCTCCGGTTAAACTTTCCACTATAGCCATCATAAAATCTATTCTTGACATTAACTTTTGTTCATTTGTATTGAGCTTATACAATAAATAGCTATTTAAAATTGCCCTACCAAATGAAGAAAAAGCAACTTTAGTTGTCCACTTTATTGTTTTACGCTCAGACAAGTACACATAGAGCTGTGCATCACCCAAATCTACACCCCCATGATTTTATTGTAAAGAGCAACAACATTTGGTTTCATAACTAAATTTCCTCTTCTGTTACGCATTTCAGTAAAACCTGCTTTGGCAACAGTAGATAGTAATATAGGCTTTTTTTGACCATCTTGGTATGCCACACACAACAATGGACCTTTTCTATATTGGCAAACTTCCTCATTTTTTAATTTCGATTTAATGCAGGTTTCTGGTAGGCCTTTCCTGTTGACTCTCACTGTGCCTGTTGCAGTGATCTGATAAGCATATAGATTACAGTTGAGGAGAAGTATAATAATTGTCAATACTTAAGTGATGACCTTGGTGTAGAAAATTAGTTTGGCGCAAAAAACGAAAAACTTAACTATAAGTCATACCATAAGCAATGGCTGCTACATCTGGATCTTATCCTCCCTTATACTTAATCTTAAACCTAGAATGACGTTTGTTTGGCATATATTGATGCAGATGTGGCGTCTTTCCTTTGTAGCCAACCATACTCTCATCTATAGAAATGTCTTTTTGTGGATAATAATAATAAAGAAATTTGTTGTTAAAATGTTCAACTAAAAACTGAATTTTATAAATTTTATTGAGCGGTTGTTGATTTGGTATATGAATGTCTGTAAAATGAGAAAATTTAAACAAAAGTTGAAACCGGTCACGATTGAAGTGGGTAACAAACCAGGGAGTAGACGCACAAGGATGACTTATATCCCAGTAAAGTTTAAGATTAGCTTTTTTGATGAGACCAATTTTGATTACGACTCCAAGAAAAGCTATTATCTCTAAAAGATTGGTCTTTCCTTGTTTAATCCATCAATGACCTCTTTATGTTGGATGGGACCTCAAATGTTGATGATTGTTTTAAATCCATGTGTCAGCATAATTATTAGTAAAATTTACTATATTTTGCAAAAATTCAGTAGTAAAAAACAAGTCAATATATTCAATAGGCTTAGACTCAGGTGAAATTGAGTGCTTGGGTCCTGATTTACCCATAAAGTGAACAACATTAGGACCATTTTCATCTTCTAGAACAAATAACCAATCATCTAAAACATTACCACCAACATCACCTACATCAACATCGCCATCAGGGCTGAAGTCTACATAAAAATTAAAATAAAAACTTTAAATTATCATACTAGGTGATATATTTGTATTAAATAATATTGTATTCAAATTTTAAAGTAAAGTTATCGTGCCTTCATCAAACAAACTGTCATTGCTGGAACTTAAAAATTCTTTGCTGGTACATCTCTCGTCATCCATACAATTTTCTTCACTGTCGCTCATTTTCAAAACCAAATATATAACAACAATATACCAAAAGATAGAGAAAAATGTGCTCTATTCTATGCTACTATTTTTAAGAACGAACAGCTGTATTTTGCTGTAAAAAGTCATAGTTTCAAAGACCACTTTAAAAGCCACAATCGTGGCTTTTTGCGCTCTGACGGTATAGCCACGATCGTGGCTCGTCGCACTCAAAGGGTTAATTCATTTTGTTGTCTTGAAGAAAAAATAAATTAGCTAAAATAAACTAAAAATTATTAATAAACTACTGCATTAAAAGCTAGAATTTTTTTTTCTATTTTTCATAAAAAAGCAAAAGAAAAATTAAAAAATTTTTTGGGAGCCCATCCTGGTCCAACGGTACTAAAACACGTCTGGGTTCTTCACTGATATATATATATATATATATATATATATATATATATATATATATATATATATATATATATATATATATATATATATATATATTGTAGAATACATTTAATACTATTTAAAAATTTAAAATGAGATTGGAAATAATTTGTCGACCTGTAGCTGTTAGAGTTCGACATCAGGTCAGCATAAGAAATTTAATACAAAGGTTTTACCATAAAACATAAGAAATAAGGTCTGCAATTTTTGTGCTAACCTCAAACACTTCTAGCAGTTAAGTTGGCTTTGCAGAATGCTGACCTAACTATGATGGAAGAAAGGCTTAAACTTGGCATATAAAGCAGGTCCAACTATGATGGAAGAAAGGCTTAAACTTGGCATATAAAGCAGGTCCAACTATGATGGAAGAAAGGCTTAAACTTGGCATATAAAGCAGGTCCAACTATGATGGAAGAAAGGCTTAAACTTGGCATATAAAGCAGGTCCAACTATGATGGAAGAAAGGCTTAAACTTGGCATATAAAGCAGGTCCAACTATGATGGAAGAAAGGCTTAAACTTGGCATATAAAGCAGGTCCAACTATGATGGAAGAAAGGCTTAAACTTGGCATAGCAGGTCCAACTACGTTTACAAAAACTTTCATTAATCATTAGAAGAACTATTTTATTATTGCAAATAATAAAATTTCAAATTATTAATTCATTTTAAATATGACAATAGTATTCCATATAGGGACGAATAAGAGATTTGTTGAGATATATATGTTCTATATATGGTTTCCATGAAAAGTCATTAGTGAATAATAATCCAAAAAGATGTAAGGAAGAGGATTTGGTGAGATATACAATGAGGTAAAAAATAAATAATACCCCCTGATTTTTCAATTTTTTAACAATTCAACAGTCAAACTAAGCCCAATTGTAATTTTTGTTTAAGCATTGTTTATGTTGCATAAATTTTGAAAAACTTACAAATATTAGAAAACAAAATATTTTATTAATTAAAGAAAGGTAAACTTGGAATAAATCATTTTATCAACATTGTTTACAAACTGATTTGATATAATTGCATTGTCTATCATGCCCTAGGGAACAAAATTAGCTTAATGTTAATATGGTCAAATTATTTCATTTAAAAAAGCTGGATAAAGCATTAAAAAATTAAAAAGAATGAAAAAGGTAGAATGGGTCCAATGGCTTAGTACTATTAGTATTACCTGCACAAAAAAAAAAAAAAAAAAAAAAAAAAAAAATTCTAGAAGCCAATCTGGTAGAGGTTTAATGTTTCGGATTGGCCTTGTTAGTTACTAGACTTGAATGCCACTGTTAGACAATTTTAGTCAAAAGAGGATCTGAAATTAAAAATTTTTGAAGTTCGGAATGAAATATCAGGCTATTAATTCAAATTTTAGTTAAAAACATAGAAACATGTTGCTAAGCTGTTAAAGAATTAAAACGACTTCTATTGAAATGCAAAGGATTTAAAAAAGTTAAATTTTTGATGGTCGATGAATGCATGCAATAGAGCGGACTTGAAAATAAAATATTATTTTCGAATTTTCAGATAAAAATTGATTAATAAATCTTTAAACAATATATTTTTTGCTTTATAATAACTATCTACCATTGGGTTAAATTTGGGGTTATTTTGAAAACTGATTCACTTATTATTTGAAAACTCACTGTTTTTTTTTACGTTTTTTGATAAGTCTTTATCAATGAAAACATTGTAAAATTTTAAAAATTTGAGTATGCATGCATGCATGTATGTATGTATGTATGTATGTATGTATGTATGTATGTATGTATGTATGTATGTATGTATGTATGTATGTATGTATGTATGTATGTATGTATGTATATATGTATGCATGTATAAATATAACTTGAAAAAATTATGAAGATTGCTTCTTTAAGAATTTGAACAATTTTTTTAATCATGCTTTTTATCATACTTTATGACATTTTTTTATCATACTTCATCACATTTACAAATAAAAATTATAAATAATAAAAGTAGGAGGAAAATTTTAATACAAATTCACTTATAACAAAGCTGCAGACAAACATAATAATTAAAAATTAATAAAAAAAAAACAACAAATATAAACAAACAAAAGGTACTTTTATAATTTTATTATATAATTATATATTATTATTTATAATTATATATTATAATATATATTATATAAATAAATTATTATAATATATATTATAATAATATAAAATAAATTTATGGTATCTTGACAAAATGATAAAAGAATTTTTTTATCATTTTATCAAGATACCATAAATATCTTGCTCCAATATTTGTAACATAAAATATATGGTTGTATCACCAACTAATAATGTGAGCATTAACTCCAACTAAATTCAATTATTTACTGCAAACAACAGCAATAATGTCAACATTCAAACATAAATAAATGGCAACCCTCTCACTGAGTATTTTTCTTTACATCTCTTTAAATTATCATTCACTATTAACCTCTGATGGAGACCATATATACAATCAATTGCAAAGTGAGCATCTGCTAAGGTTGTTTCTTGTTTTTGTGCTCACCATTATCTTACTCCTGATTCTATTCTCTACCTCTACAAATATCTTACTTGCCTTTTTATGGAATACTGTTGTCATACTTGGGCTGGTTCTTCTATTGATATCTATAAATAACTGAAGTATGGTTGTTTTAAAATAATCATTATTCATTTATAATTCATATACATATTATAATCTATATATATATTTATAATCTATATCTATTTATAATTTAAATAATTTCTAGTATTACACAGGTTTTTAATATTTTTTGCAACTCATTGATTATAATCTATAAAGGTTTCCAAGATTTTTATCAAGATAAATACCAAGGAACCTAGTTATGGAACCTTTTCAATTTCTACTCATCATTCAGCAAAAATTTTATTCAACATTTATTCTTTGTTAGTAGGTTCTTGTTTCAATTTAGGTGGTGGGTGATTAATAAATCTGATGTGATGTATTTTAAAATACTAAATCTGATAATGACAAAATGTTTTGAATTTAATTTAACTGTAAAACATATATTAATAGATATACAAAAGATACATTTATGATAATAAACATTTTTGAGAATACACACATGCTACTTGACAAATATAGACAAACTAGTTTAAGCCTTGATATTTACCAATATTTGATAATTTAATTAATATTTTATGTTCAGATATGAAAACATCTAAATAATAAATGACTATTTACTCACGTTGATAACGCAGTAAGACAAACAGCTTGAGGTATTTGAACTTGACTGCTACATAAAGGTGAACAATATTGCAGAGTAGAGCACGGAACTGTGTAACGGTATTGACATCTTCCCTATAAAAATGTATGGAAACATTTATTATATTAGAGCTAAACTATATTTATTTATACATACAAGTATTATTATTGTTATTATTTACATTAGAATATTATTTAATTTAGTTTTTTTAAACATTTGTTTAACTAATCATAAGTTACTAAAGACACATAAAATATATAGTAGTATCTAATAAGATTTTCACTGTTTTTCTCAAACAAAATTTTTGTCAAAACATGTCATGTTTTAAAGCAACACGATATATGTATACCAGCAAAATTTACTGTTTACATACTAGAAAATCATTTTGATGATTTAGTTGTTACTCAACCTTTAGTTGTTACTCAACACTGAGAGTTTCAAAAAGAGTAAGTCTTGTAAATTTTGGTTGAAAACTTATAAGACTTACTTGCTCAGATTGTCGGAGAGCTTTTGCAATGTCTATCTACATATGTTGATTGATCTATTGATATGATTGATGTTTATCAAGATATAAATAAGAGGCTTTTCTAAAACCAGGTTTAATTAGTTAGCAGATTGTGTGGCATCCGAAAAATGCACAAGCCTAAGCCTTCCCAGGTAAGGCGTGCGGTTTTTCGTCTTGTACGACCACGAAAACGTTTTTTAAGTTAGAGAACGTGATCACGGCCGTTTGCGCAAGTTATATTAAATGCGATACTGAAAAATTGTTTTAAGTTTAATAACTACATAAGAAATTAAAGTAAACTTAAATAGAAAACAATAATAATAGTTTAAATAAATTTTTTTCTTAGTGGCTATTAAATAGTTATATAATAATAGTTTAAATAAGTTTTTTCTTAGTGGCTATTATTATCGGCAACAAAATTCATCAAGTCAAAGCAAAAAACAAAACAAAACAAAAAAAAAAAACGGTTTTAGGCGTTAAAAAGGATGACTTTCCCATATTTTATGTGTTTTTTCTTTTAAATAGGAAGAAGAAAATATGTATCGCCATCTATTTGTAAAATATATTTGTATAATTATAATGTAACAAGTTTATATCAAGAGTTGAATTATACGATAGCGATTTGCAAACTCTGGTAAAATATTAGGTCTTTAAAATTTTAGTTCATGCAAAGCTGTGTACTTTGTTTATAAGGAGCAAATTATTAAAAGTTTGCTAGCGAGAAAGTTACAAAAAACAAAAAAAAAACAATAAACTTACAACTACAATAGTAATAACACACTTTAGTCACTAACTGCATTATTAAAGTAATAAAACTATAATAGTGTTATTACATTTATAAAGCACATATAACTTTTAAAGTTCATTCTTTGTTTCTTTTGTTCATTCTTTTTGTTTAAAGTTCATTCTTTGTTTTTAAAGTTCATTCTTTGTTTGTTCAAACAACATTAGTTGCAAACATTTTTTTTTTTTTTTTAACATCTTTGCTTCCAACAAGGCTGCAACCACTAATTAGTGTTGGAAGTCACTGGAAGAGAAAAGATGAAGATTGTAGAGCAAAATTAAAATATTATGACTTAAAATATTGCAAATTATATGATCAGGAAAGCAAGATAAAGGAAGCGAAGTCCTAAGAAATGATGTTCAAGGAAAAAAACTAGACGAATAAGAGTTTTTGGAGCACTTAGGAACAGTAACAGAAAAAGGATAAGACTTAATTGAATGATGAGTAACACGAGAATGAATTTTTGTAGATGGCACAAGAGACGCTAGCTCTTTAGAGCAGTGCCCATTATAGTATTTGTAGAAAAGAGAAAGAAAAGCAACATTATGACAATGTGACAGAGGTTGAAGGTTGGCTGCAATAGCAGGTCCAACTATGTTTACAATGCGTTTTTGCACCTTGTCTAAAAGAGATGTGACAGAGGTTGAAGGTTGGCTGCAAGAGTAGGTCCAACTATGTTTACAATGCGTTTTTGCACCTTGTCTAAAAGAGAAAGGGCATCATTAGAAGATCCGCCCCAGATATGGCAACAGTATTCCATACAAGGCTGGGTTTGAGATTTATAGAGATAGAGAATAGAATCCAGAGTAAGAAAGTGATGAGCTCAATAAAGAGATGCAACTTTAGCAGATGCTGATTTTGCAACGGATTTGATATAAGGTTTCCAAGAAAGATCAGAAGCAAGAGTCAATCCTAGAAGATGAAGGCTAGGAGACTCATCGAGTACATTACCGTTCATAAATATAGGAAGGTCTAAATTATTGCGATAACGATTGGCTGAAAAAAATTGAGTTTTATCTGAATTAAAGTTCACCAGCCACCGTGAGCCCCATGCTGTAGCAGAAGTGAGATCCTTTTCAAGCTCAGATGCCCCCTGCAAGCAATCAGAGGGAGTTATTATTCTTATTGTGACAAGAATAAATGGCAGTATCATCAGCGAACGATGCCACCTTAGATGTGAGAATATTTGGAAGTTCGTTAATGCAAATTAAAAAGAGTATAGTGCCAAGGATTGAACCTTGAGGAACCCCTGAGGTTACAGAATAAGAGAAGATTGCTGTCCATCAAGGACAACTTTTATACTACGATTGGAAAGAAAGGATTCGATAATCTTAAAGATGTTTCCAGATACACCATAAGAAGAAAACTTATGGAGAAGACCAGCATGCCAAACTTTATCTAACGCCTTAGAAATGTCAAGAGCGATGGCCTTAACCTCTCCAGCTTTATCTAATGCGCGATAAAACCTATCGGTTATTACTGTTAGCAAATCAGCCGTAGAACCAGAAGATCGAAATCCATATTGATGATTAGAAAGTAGGTTATGAGATTCGAGATTAAGTGTTTGTTAATTAAAGATTCAAAAACCTTGCTTATGATAGGAAGAAGACTAATGGGACGGTAGTTAGACCAATCGGATCGCTCTCCAGAATTTTTAAAAATAGGGATAACAGATGCTGCTTTCCAGCAGGCTGGAAAACAAGACTCTGATAAGCACTTGTTGAATAGTTTTGAAAGGATAGACGACAGCTCCGGAGAACACTTCTGCAAGACTATAACAGTTATGTTGTCCGGGTCGCAAGCTGTAGAAGAGTCTAATCAGGAAATCACTTTAGATACAGAAGCTGGAGTGATACGGATGTCGAGCAGTGGATCAACCTGTTTGACGGCTATATCAGGTAGAACACAACAAGTGGAATCCAGAGATGATATTGATGAAAAGCTATTGGCAAACAATTCAGCTTTGTCTTTAGGTAAGGTGACAAAGTCTAAACCAAACAAGAGGTGGAATTACAGACTTACCCTTATTATTGATACTATTAAAGATTCTCCAGAAGTCACGAGAGCCTAATTTTTATGATGAAATACGAGATTTCATGATCTGAGAATAGTGGGCTTTGGCGTTAGACAGAACCCTTTTACAATGGTTCCTAGCAGTAATGAACAGACGTCTGTTTTCTGGAGAATTGTTTTGCTGATAGATATGGAAGTAATGGTTTCGATTAGCAATTGCAGCAGCACAATGTGAGGAAAACCATGGAGAAGAGTGAGGCTTGATCTGGAATCGTTGAGAGGGAATAAAGGATTCCATGCCAGCCTGAATCCACGAAGTTATGTAAGAAGCACATTTGTCAACAGGAAGACGAAAGATTACTACCCAGGGGCTATCACGAAGAAAATCACGGAAAGAGTCCCAGTTAGCTTTAAGGTAGTTGTAAAATGTACAATGATAGGGAGATTCTGATGGTAAAGAAGAATGAGATAATAGTTTTAGAGAGACCAAATAATGATCAGAAGCACCTAAGGGTGAGTGTAAAGAAACTGAGCACTGATTAGGATCGGAAACAAGACATAAGTCGAGTAGAGAAGGTAAATAATTCGGGTTGTCTGGTAAGCGAGTTGGAAAGTTGACTATTTGAGTTAGGGATTAAGATAGACAAAAGTTGTGAGCCTTAATGCCTGCAGAGTCACTGATACTAGAGCCAAGCCATTCAGTGTGATGAACATTAAAGTCACCGACAAAAACAATATAGGCTGATGGATAAAGAATGAGGGCTTGGTCAATATAATCAGAAATAACATCAAGAAGAGTGCAGTCTTAAGATAAAGGAGAGCAATATAGAACAAAGAGAAAGGTGATAGAGTGAAGTGGTACTAAACGAAAGCACATAAAAGAGTAGTCTGTGGATTCAAACCTAGTTTCCCGACAAATGGGTGAATTCTTACAAATGTAAATGCCTAGGCCAAGCATGTGACTATTGGAGTCTTTACGAATTAAAGGAAGATAACCATCAACACTAAGATCACAAGATGAGACAGCTGAACTCAAATTAGTCTCACAAAGAGCAAGTAGGTCTGGTGAACTTTGCAAGAGATAAGACTCAACAGAAGAAAAGTTACTTCGAAGACCACGAATATTGGTGAATGATAGGTTTAGCGAACTTGGTGATGACTGTAGTTTTTTTGTGTTTTATAGTTTTTGTTACTTTATTCATTTTTAAATTTGTTAAAGAACTTGACTCGAAACATAGATAGTACTCAGTACACTGTTTTATAGCGCAAGCAATTGCCTCATTTCCACTAATAAACCCTAAGCCGTAACAAAGGGCTCCAATGTGGCCTTGGCAATGCACACCAAAAGTACAAACATGGACACCATCCATGCGCAACATGGCACTGTTAGTACTCTGATATTTTTCAGCTGTTGATGGAATCAGCCTCTCTGAGAGCTACCACAGAGTTCGGGAAACCTGACTACCAGCTGGCCTCAGAACCATAAAACTGAGTTTTAGAGCTGTACCCTCATTTGGAGATAATAGAATGAGTTGCCTAGTCATAAAAAGAGAGACACAAGCAAAACCCATGCATCCAGTCAAAAAGATTCAGCGTTCAACATCCTAAACTGGAAACAATGTATTAAAAACACATCTGCTGTTAATTGTCATGTCATGCGCGTTAATTTTAAAGCAACCAATAAAAAATTTTTATTGGTTAATTTTAAAATTAATACACGTTTTTACGGTCCATTAATAACGTTTTTTATAATGCTAAGCTTTTAATAAGATACATTTTCATAAAGTTGTTTG